AGGAACGTTGCACATTCAAGGGACTGGATTTGTAATTTCAGCTGTAAAGTTTTAAGCAGTAACTCCTCTCCAGGCACACTATATGTAGTTTAAAAACAACCACCACCACCACCTTAGAATAAAATAAAATAGGCAAACACTGTCTGCATATGCTAGGACTCTTGCCATAACCTGGGGCAGGACAGGAAGCCAGAAGCCCACACTTGCAAGCTGAACCACCGATTGCCAGGAAATCTTCCCCGGTAATTCAGCAAACAGAAACCAGGAGAAGCCAAGCAGTTGCTGGACACTTCTAAAGCTAAAAAGTGAGAAATGTTAAAAAAGATAGGCACCCAGCTAAGAATGCAGAAAATTTTGATACTGTAGTGAGAGTTTTAAATAAAGTACAAAATATCTGTCTGCTCTTAAACAAGTGTAGTCAAAACCACCGCACACAGTGACAAAAAATGAAGAAAAAAATGCAGAAATTGCCCTACTTTTTCCAAGCAAAGTGGTAGCATCACAACACCTGAAGTAAGTACATCTGCAAATAACTCCAGAGAAGCCTGGACTCAAAGTCTTGCCAAAGTCCTGACAGTTCAACCATACATTTATCTATTGCTTTATCTCAAACAGGAATAAGAACTTTTTTCCAGCTACTCATAAACTAAAAACAAGACACAAAAAGTTTTCCTGGATGCAGTAAAACCCCACCAACCTCCAAACAGTGAGCTGTGCATATTTATCCCTTGATATTAAGCTTTGCACATAATTCAGTTCTTCCTGCTAGTAGGCATATGTATGTCAGCCGTCAGAGTGCCAAATAATGTGACATCTAGGATTTAGCAAGCCAGGACTGCCTTGGCCATCTGATAGAAATCCAAGGATAACCACACTTCATCTGTGAAAAGCAGAACAGACTCAACTATCGTATTCACTGCAGGACAGCCTTGTTCTAACAGGGAAGGGTTCATCTTCCCTCTTTTTCTAAAAGAAACTGCCTTACTTCCCTGACCAAGGAACTTCATTAATCAACTTCCCAAAACTAAAGGCTGTGGCAGGGAACTGAGTATCTGAGTACCAGAGTCAGAACTGCAAATTCCATCTTTCTCTTATATGCAATACTGAGAGCAGAATGGTTTGCCAGGCTCTTTAGTCAAGTCTACTTCCACCTCTTTACTTGCTATTTGGAGACAACTGTTTAGGGGAAAAAGAAAAACCAACAAAAAACCAACAAACCAAAGCTACCAATTCATTAAATGTAAGCACCTTTCCTGTAGATCTTTAACTGAAAGCATTGACTTTATACAGCAAGATTAAAAAACAGGCCCAAGAAATGACATTTCAGGGCAGCACGTAGGCTCTCTTGTGTCCCCCACTGCTGCCCCTGCACACAGCACAGCAGATGAACAGGCCGCCCTATTTTTCAGTTGATTGTACAAATCAATCAGAACAAAGGCTGCCACCCTGAGCTACAGCATGTTCTTATTACGCAAGCAGGATGGGCATAAATTTGCAAGGCACAAAGAACATGCATGAAAGAAACTGCTTATTCTTCACACAAGAAGTGCTCATTATACACTCTGTGCCCTGGCTCTTCACACACTGCTCTCTGAAATCACAGGTACAGTCTTGTCAATTATACTAACATTCGAAAGAAACCCAAGATAAACACATCACCTTGCTAAAAATAAGTCACTAAGAGACAATCAATCACAATGCTGTGCCACACTTTGCTTAATTAACCTTTGAGAATCCATGAGCTTCTTTCTCACCTACCCAGGCTCATCTCCCTCCTCAGGTAGCTGTGAGGTCAGCTGGGTCATATCTCTGCCTTTGGCGAAAATTAACCCTACAAGAAAACCCATCAGAACACGAAGCGGCAAGCTGACCCAGCTGGCTCCCCAGCCACAGGCACATCGCTGTCAGCAAGAACCAGCAGGTGGGAACATTCCATTCTGCAGCAGCACAACCCCACACCATCTGAAGCTGGTCACAAAAATGTCACCCTCAGGCAAATGGAAGAGGACATCATCATTCTCCTTCAAATATGCTTTTTGCTAACAAAACAACAAATGCAAGACAACAGTGTCATTATACCAGTACCATTGCTGGTCACACTGAGTAGCACTGTTTGATTTTTACCAGTTCTCAGTCTTACCTTTTATTCAGATTTGTAAACATCTTTCTTTTCTACATTCACAAAACACTTACCATAAGATTCTTCCATTCTATGGCAATAGAGATTTACTAATATATACCAAGCCCTAAAAAAACATGGACTCTTCAAAGACTAAGCTGTCAAACTGGTGTATGTCCTTTCCAGTGGAGACCAGAACACAGAATCATAGAATCACAGAATGGTTTGGGTTGGAGAGACCTTTGAAGGTCATCTGGTCCAACCCCCTAGCAATAAGCAGGGACATCCTCAACACGATCCAGTTGCTCAGGGCCTCCTCCAACATGACCTTGAATATTTCCAGAGATGGGGCATTGACCACCTCTGGGCAACCTGTGCCAGCGTTTCACCATTCTCACTGTAAAAAGTGTCTTCCTTGTATCCAGTCTAAATCTACCTTCTTTTAGTTTAAAGCCATTA